GCAACATTACATTTACGCATTGACAAATGACAGAAAATACATTTTAAAATGCATATTTACATTGATAATAAGATACAAAAGTACATCAATAAAAAAGAATTAAATTTGCATTCAAGTGGGCTTTTTATAAAAAAAGACATATGCTTTATTGGAATTAGTGTTTGCATCCATTACAGCTAAGAGTAGATAAATTTGTCAATGCAAAACTAATCCAAATTTATAATTTATATGGACCGTTTTACACTCTACATATTTACATTCACACTTATTTGCATCGTTTCCAAACGCAGCCTAAAGAAATTAATAGGTGATGCAATAGGGGGTTTAATGGTTGTAGACCAGGATAATCTGTTTTGACGCACTGTTAACATGGTTCTAAAAAGGTTCCGGACCTAGTTGCCAACCAAACAGCCCTACATGCGTGTAGGAGGCTTTGTGTCTTAAAAATAATCCTTGAAAGTGATGCAGAGTACTTATTCCATTTTGAAGCTGCAGGGAGAGGGATGTTCTGTATCATCTCTTATTATCTTTCATCCTGAAAGATGTTCTGAATCATTTTAAGCTTCACAGTACTACAGCTATGCGACTATATATATAGTTCCACAAATCGGGGTGGTAATGAATCCCCTCACCTCGTTGTAATAAAAGTGGGAAACATTACCAAGGAGAATGGATTCACAAATCTCTGGAATGGTCAATAGATGCTCTCGTTAAAGATTTGGAAGATTTTTTGTACAAGATGCTGGTAGGTGGTAGCTGATACTGTTTTTTACCCCTCCTATTTCCTGTTAGAATCATGCATTCTTTATTAATCCCTATCTCCATAGCTAAATCAGTTCACCTATACCCTCACCTTCCATAAAAAGATAAACAAATAAATAAATAAATAAAAGGATGAATTTGCTGGTTGGCCCAACTTCTTCATCCAATAATGACCCTACCAACCTTATAGTGAGCATCCATTTTCAGTCACACATAGTGCAAGCGAAATTTTCTAATTTCATCAATCTGTGACAGCAAAAATAATATAAGAAGGGTGCATGCACGCCTTATTTAGGTATAGCTAGCTAGTCATGACAACTGGGAAAATGAATATAATGTTGATTTTATTTAATTTTAATCTTAATATATATATATATATATATAGAAGATAATTTTTTAAAACCTATACATAGAAACACATTACTGCAACATAAATAGATAAAAGTATGTTGTCCCGTCTCATATCACCAATGCAAAATGCTTTCAATCTGAGGTGACAAATTATAGACAATCGGGTAATAGCTTCTGAAGTTCTTGACTCTATAAAGAAAAAGAAAGACAAACAAGGGTTATTTATTTTGAAATTAGACCTTAGCAAGGCATATGATAAATGGAGTGGCCTTTTTTGATGCATGCACTATGGTTAAGAGGATTTTCTGAACAATTTTGTGATTTGATCTTGAACTGTATTTCTACTGATTATTTTTCTGTCCTGTTGAATGGGATTCCCTCTTAGCCATTTCAACCTCATCAAGGATTATGCCAAGGTTGTCATCTTTTACCTTATTTATTTATTTTGTGTGATAATGTTTTATCCAAACTATTATAACGGGACCTTGAAGATGGACAGTTGCATGGGGTTAAACTTGGGACAAGTGGAATTGTGCTTAACCACATAATGTATGCTGATGATATTCTAATTTTTGGAAGGAGAACTATGTAAGAACTCAGCCGAATTAAGGAAATTCTAGACATGTTTTGTTCTTGGTTAGGTCAACAAATCAGTTATGATAAATCATCCATCTATTTTTAGCTCTAATGTCCATAGATGTTATCGCTGAATGTTAACATCCTTTCTCGGGTTAAAACAATGAGGGGTAACGGACTATATTTGGGTTGTAGTCTTCATGACATTAAGATTTGTAAAGATGATGGTTCAAGGGTGATTGAAAAGGTCAAATCAAGATTGGAAGGATGGAAAGGCTGTTGTTTTTCTCATGTAGGTAAGGCAGTTTTGCTTCATAGTGCAGTGTCTACTCTCCCTACATACATCATGGCCACAAAATTGCTCACATCTTCCCATTGTCAGCAACTTACATCTTTGACCCGCAATTTTTGGTAGGGCTTTTCTGATGATAAGAAACATTTATATTTGCACAAATGGATTGATATTACTACACCTAAATTGACAGAAGGTTTAGGTTTTAAAGATTTCCATCGTCTCAATATTTCCCTTGTCTCTATATTATGCTAGAGATTTTTTACTGAGTATTCACATCTATGGGTAAAGGTTTTGGAGTCCAAATACCTTCAAGAAAAGAATTTGTGGACCATTTCTTCCAAAAGCACAATGACTTACATTTGAACGAGTATGCTTAAATGCAGAACTTATCTTAAGCGTGGTTGTCAATGGTGTATTGGGAACGGTTGGTCTATAGATGCCTTGGCTGATCCTTGGTTGCCTAAACCTTGGACTCCTCCTAGAACCAATATTTCTCTACCTCATGAGATGCCTGTACTACGTGTGGCATATTTTATTGACCCTCACACTAGATCTTGGGTGCATGAACAAGTTTCTCAGTTTTTTAATCCCTCTACGATGCAACTCATAAAGACCTTACCTCTACCAACAAATGTGGAGGACATTGATGACAAGCTAGTTTGGACACTTGCTCCTCATGGGAGGTTTACAACGTCTTCCATATACACTCTCTTATGATCTGATGTTGCATACTATTCTAATGCATGTTATGCTTTTGGCACAGTAATGTGGAAGAGCTTTTGGCATATTAAACATTTGCCACTATGGGTACAATTCTTTCTTTGGAGATGCTTAACGAATGCCATTCCTAGCACTGGTCGATTGGCTAACTATATTACTGGAATTGACCCTACTTGTCACTTATGTGGCACTACTATTGAAACCATTCACCATCTATTTTTTGGTTGTTCAATGACCAGATCAGTTTGGTTTGCTTCATGTTTGAACCTAAAAGTTGACGAACATATAGATTGGAGTCTACAGGATTGGCTATTTAATTGTTTGAACTTGACTCTCCTTTTAATGAAAGCCAGTTATCATATTTTACTATTGGAAGCATTTTCATGTGGCAAATATGGAAATCTAGATGCAAAACAATCATGAAAAATTGACCTTTTGAATCTATGACAGTTATCTTCAAGGCCTAGTCTCAACTGGAGGAGATTCGATGCTTTATATTGATTAATGTGGATATTTCTAATACTATCATCTCAAGGCTGAATGACTCCTCCCACTTTTGGCAGAAACCTATCCCTCCTATGCATAAAATCAACTTTGATGGTGCTTTGTCGTCATTATATGGGGCTTTAGGTGTTGTGATCTGTGATCACTCAGGAGCTTTTATTTATGGCAAATCCATTAAAGTTCCTAAAGCTTCCCCAGAAGAATTAGAAGTTAAATTTGCTCATGCGGCCCTTTTGTTTGCTTTAGAATTGGGGCTCTCTTCCATCATTCTTGAGAGAGATTCTACAATTGTGACTACAAGTCTGTTAGAGTTTGGCTCTCACGCTCCTTAGCAGATTCACATATTGATCACAGATTGCAGACTTTTTATTAGATAATTCTCTCACTGCTCAATAAATTGGGTTGCACGTACTGGTAATGTAGCCGCTCATATATTGGCTACACATGCCCTAACTGTTAACCACATGCATACGTGGTCTATGTGTCCATGGCTGTTCATTCGCGAGTCTAATTAAAATAAGATTGTAATCAATTTTAGTATGAAAGCATTCACGAGTCCTAATTGCTTGCTGGTGATACTTCAGGGACAGTTCATTCATTATTGTTTGTATATATTATTGATCACTTTCGTATTTATAACCATAGACCAGTACTCAAGTAGTTAAAAGGGACAACACAGATTGCTTCAGCTTGAAACCAAATTTTTGGGATCAAAATCAAATAAGCCATATGTTTGGGTCCACCCAAATAAACAGGAATATAATTGAATAGAATCACATTTTGAATACGGGTTAATTTGAATGCCATTGAGAATGATAGAATCTGGACCCAACCTGCCTCCAAGCCTATAACTAGTCACCACTACTGCCACTGGGGTTCAAGTTGTTGCTCATGATCAAGTGCATGTGCCTTTCCTCTCTTCACCTTTTCAATGTAGAAATGGGAACCTCTCAATAGTGGCCACCGTATACTTCTTCAACGCCCGTGCAATGAGAGAAAGAGACAGAGAGAGAGAGACAAACAGCTTTGGTATCCCACGTATTTACCTAACACCACATTCATTCATTCAAATTCTCAAGGCTGTGTTTGGTCACAATGTAAATAAATTTAGGTAGTTGGAAATGATTAATTAGGTGTAAATTCTGATTTATTTTTGTTTCAAATTTTACCTTATTTTGTTTATAATTGCAATACAAATTAAAGTAAAACTAAACTTGAAACAGAATGAAGTAAAACCCAAAACAAAACTAAACTCAAATTTGCATTCTTTTCATTTTCACTTTTATGTATTTGTACTAATGCAAATAAAATTACACTGCAATCAAACATAGTTAATTTAATTTAACTGATTTTCTCGATTGTTCAGCATGCACCATGATGAAAGAAAGAAAGAAAAGATTTTTTTTTTGTTGTTTCTTCTCCTTTTTCATCGAGATCAAATCAGTCCCCCACTAGATTGCCCCCCACAACGTCCCACAGCACATCTCCACAGTGTATTGGAAACATCTCCCAATGATATATCAGAAATAATGATATAATCATCCGGAAATATTTCCAATACACGAGATGTTGTGGGGGACTGATTTGAACTCTTTTTCTTTTTCTTCTTACAAATATCAAACATGCATATCAGATGCCAAAAACTTTCTACTGAGAAAAAAAAGGCTTTGACAGTCAATCCCCACATTTCTACCTTTAAGCCCCTGGTCTTCCCCCTCCCCCTTCCCCAACCCCAACTGTTGTGAATCTACATAGATATTTGCTGTGAGTTTTCCTCATATATATAAAAAAATCAAGAATCCTCCAGAAAAAGTAAGTATCCTCACATGGCTTCTCCTTCTCTATCTTTTACTAAGCCAAAATGCTTCTTTCCATCTTTGCCAGGATGGAACCTCAGTCAAACCCCAAATCTTATCATTTCCAAGAAACCCATTTCACTGAAGCCAAGAACGTCACTAAAGTGCTCATCAGTTTCAAGTTTGACCTCCATCTCAGATGAGGAAATAGTCGTCGAGGAAGCTGAGAAGTTGGTCATGGAGGAAGAGAAGTCGCTGCGAGAAATTTGGCAGGAAATTCAAGGCTGTAACGACTGGGAAGGACTCTTAGACCCCACGAATCCTGTTCTTCGCAAGGAGATCATCCGGTACGGAGAATTCGCTCAAGCCTGCTACGATTCCTTCGACTTCGATCCTCGTTCCAAGTATTGCGGAACCTGTAAGTACCAAGGTGCCCATTTCTTCCAAAAGCTTTACATGACAAATCTGGGCTATCAAGTAAGCAGATACGTCTATGCAACCACGAACATCAACCTTCCAAACTTCTTCCAGAAGGCCAAGATTAGCAGCGTCTGGAGCCCCCACGCGAACTGGATGGGCTACGTCGCCGTCGCCACTGACGAGCAAGAGATTAAGCGTCTGGGGAGACGCGACATCCTTGTTGCATGGAGAGGCACTGTGACCTACCTCGAATGGATCCATGATCTGAAAGACATTCTTCATCCGGCTCGTTTCGGTGATGACCCATCAATCAAGATCGAATCGGGCTTCTTTGACTTGTACACGAAGAAAGAACACAAGTGCAATTACTGCTCATTCTCAGCCCGAGAGCAAATACTAGCTGAAATTAAGCGTTTGGTTGAGAGATACAAAGGAGAAGAGTTGAGTATTACAATCACAGGCCATAGCCTTGGAGCTGCTTTAGCATTACTAAGCGCTTATGACATTGCTGAGATGAAACTCAACATTGGAGACAGCGGGCACATTCAGGCTAGAATTCCGATCACGGTGTTCTCCTTCGCCGGACCCCGAGTCGGAAATCTGAAGTTCAAGGAGAGATGCGACGAACTCGGTGTTAAGGTTCTTAGAGTGATCAACGTGCACGATAAGGTGCCTACTGTGCCAGGAGTCATTGCAAATGAGAAATTTCAGTTTCAGAAATACATGGAAGAGGTGATGTCGTTCCCTTGGAGTTATGCACACGTGGGGTTGGAACTTGCTTTGGATCATACGCATTCACCGTTTCTGAAGCCCACATTCGATCTGTTTTGTGCACACAATCTCGAAGTTCATCTGCATCTCGTCGACGGCTATCACGGCAAGGAACGACGCTTCTGCTTGGCAACCAAGAGAGACATCGCTCTTGTTAACAAGAGCTGTGACTTCTTAAGGGTAGACTACGGCGTTCCGCCTTTTTGGCGGCAGGACGAGAACAAGGGGATGGTAAGGACAACCGACGGTCGGTGGATCTTACCGGAGAGACCCAGGATGGAGGCTCATCCGCCCGACACGGCCCACCACGTTGAACAAGTCCTCAAGGTTTTCAAGTCATCGGCGGAGGCATCTTTAATTTGATGTTAACAGCCAAATAACTGCTTATTTATCACTACCTAGAAACTAGAATGAGACGTCTCATCTGAACTTCGTAGTATTTATCTTGTTCGTATTATCAAGATATGTAATGGACCCCAACCATGAATTCCCAACAAATCTCACCCTGGTTTGGTTTGAAGTCTATTTCAACTGTGCCGAAGTTGGTCAGTTAGGCTTAACAGAGAACGGGCTCATAAATGGTTTAGTATTAAAGTCTAAATCGTAGACCTTAAATTCCATGCATCAAAAACCAGTTTGAAATGCTGGAACGACTGGTTAAGCCAAGTGAAGAGATAGGGCTGAGCAATTAAAGCATTGATTTAACAGAACCATTCTGCCCATCTAAGATCTGACAAAACCAATTGCCGAATAGGTTCTATATCATTACGGAATGTTTATCTTCAGTGACTGTCTAGAACTCATTTGTAAAAGAGTTCAGCTATGGTGGATTCGATCTAATGCTGCATGTAAGTCTGCTTACTGATCTATAGATTAATTTACACTGGACAAATTATACTTTGATGTATTTTTGCAAATGTAGTTTAACCAGATATGTTAACCATCATCTTCTTCCATTGGGACCCCTCAGTTCCACTAATTGCCCTTTATTTAATAAACATTTTGTACAGCATCTCCTTTGCAAAAATGAAAAAGTAGTTGTTGAAAAACGTTTTTTTAATGTTTTTGCGACAGCTAGGAGACATTAATTAAACACCATATAATAAGCTGAATATTGAAAAAATGCCTAAAGCCCTAGGGGAACATCCAAAGACATTTCCCCACATTCCAAAAATAAAAAAAAAGGTTTCTTTAATAAACAGTTTAACCAAACAATTTTATTTTTGGGTCACTTTTAAGTTTTGTATTTTTTTCCATAATGGATAAAGACAATTATTCTTTTCTTATTTTTTATTAATATAAAATATTGAAGATATACCCAAATGTTTTCTATAAAACTCTATATTTTTTATATATTTTTAATTTTAATTTATTATTTAATAATGAAATCAGTTGTTAACATACTTGAACCCAAATGTTGAATTGTTGATCCACCACCAAATAGGAAATCAATTTCATTTTTGGGCCGGTTTTAAATTTTGTATTTCATTTTCATCATTAATTTATAAATTCTTACCCACTATTGGGGTAGAAGAACAATTTTGTTCCTAGGCTGGTTTTAAAAAGCATAGGTTTCATATTGATAAAGTTATTGAATTCAAACCTAATTAGTAGAATTTATTGGTGAGAAAAAAATGGAAAATACCTTAAATATGAGATTTAATGAGAGACAACAATACTTAATATCTTAATCTTAATCATAAAACTTGATGAGAGTGAATTGAATGTGGTGAAAAGTAGTAGCAGGGGGTAAGTTAGTCAGCTGGTAAATTGACCACCATGATTCCCACATTCATTTGTCACTATATTGGGTCTCATGGTAATCAAAGATTTCAGAGAGTATCAATTATACAAGTAACTAATACCCTCCTACAAGGTGGATAAGCAATTTACCCGCGCGCCAATAACACTCTCTCACTTCTGCCTCTCTCTTTACCTAATTAACTTGTATTGCACAAGAACATTGGAACCTCACTTACCCGGGCAAGTATTACCTACGAAGCACTTGCCCGGGTAAGCATACTTACCCAGGTAAGTGAAAACAAACGGGGCATAAATCTTTTGTTAGTCATTAGTGGTCAAATTATCCCCCTCTCTAGTTGAAGATATTAAGCTTCTTCTTAATTGTTTGTTGATGAACGGAGTCAGCCTTGCTGCTACTTTGAAAAGAAATAGTTCAATTACTCTCACAATTACATAGGGATTAAATTTAATGTAAAATTATTTTAGTTAAAAAAATTCACATATTATATTATAATCCATACTAATAGAACATGCATGACACCAACATATAATAAAACTAAGGAAAACTTATCTTTTTATTATTATATTAAAACTGCCTTTAAAAAATAAAAACAATTCGTGCAGAAAGTAGAATACATCCTCAACTTTAAGCTGACACTTTTGATCATAATGTCATATCAAAACCCACAATCTGTTCCATTAAGTGATCAATTTAATATCCATCAAGCATCCAAATAGAGTAAAAAGAGCAACGCTGGATTCAGTCCTTACAAAATCTATCCTCAGACCGTTCTCAAGTGTTGTGAGAACAAATTTTGTGAGGACTGAATTTGGATTCATTAGAGAACAGCCTTTTTGGATTAATAGAACTTTGACTGTTTTAGTCAAACTTACAGCTTCCGGTTATGAATTTTAATTTAAACTATTTTTGAAATATTTTGTTTAAGTTTTCTGAAGTTGATCAGGGTGCTTTAGGTCAGATAATTAGGAGTTTGTTGCTATTGGGTAAATCTTTCTATTTTGGAAACTTACACTTTGAGTTGAACTAAAAGTTTGGAGCCTTTAGTTGAATGAAGTTCTAAGTTTTTAATTATGTTTTTATTTCATGTAGCAGTAACTTGCGTACATTATTGCTTGGAGGGTAAAAAACTATAAGATGATAATTCCTATCTCATTTTTCTTTATGTCTAGTATAATTGATTTCTTCTGATGCTTTTAAATAATAGATTTAAAAGCAAGCTATAGAAGATGGAAAAGAGTTTTGGACCATGATTTTAAAAAATGACCTGGAAATAGAATCGTTTTGGCCACCGATTTCTGAGTTGACGGTTCGAATGGATGGTCTATTCTGATAAAAAAAATTAAAAATAAAAAAACATTGAATGGGTAAAATGGGTCAACAGGTCGACTGTCTGAATTAACGGATCGTTGACTAATTCAACAGTTTTTGGCCAGGGACTGGATTTGGGGTAAAATGAAACCGATTGCCTGAATGGTTTCCGGGCAACCGACTATCCGGGTCAATGGCAGTTCGAAAACCATGCTTTGAACCATGTTGAGATGATGGGCTGGCTTTCCTTGGTATCAAAGCCCACATTGACCAATTGGTCTAGTATTCAATCTCCCATCTTTATTATAATTAATTAAATTTCAGGATAAGATAGTGTTAGAAATAAAAGAAACCTCACCTAATAGTTTAAACTTTTTCAAAACCCGCAATAAAGTGACACATTGCTTATACGACGATAGAAATTTAAGAGGCTTAAGATCACTAATTACTTTTTGATAATTTAACCAAAATTAACCATACTAAAAAATATTAAGTATTTAACTCCCATGCTTCCCATTAGATCTAAGCCTTGCTCTACTCCCCAGCCTGTTTATAATGATCTGATGAAAAGTGAAAATTTATTTGTAGATTTTTATATTATTAAAATAAGAGAAAAATCTAATTTTTAAGATCCAGAGCCTAGATATAACCATACTGAGTTTGTTTGCTTTATCTAAATTTCATGATAAATTAATTTATCATGAACTTTAGAGGATAAGAGGACCATGTACAACACTGCCCATATATATATAATTGAGATATGACTTAGAAGATGATGAGGTGATGATGATGATGTCTTTTCCCTTGTCATTGTGTGAAATTACTGTACAGAGAAAACACATGGCATTTGATGGGATTGAAGGAGTCTCAAAGCTAAGACACATTTTACATGGAGCATTTAATCCATAGATATTGAAACCTGAAAGGTTACTGCATTTGCTAGCTTAAGGTCTCCAAGATCCAGCTTACGGTCTCTCTCTCTCTTTCTCTCCAATGCTGTCTTTCTCTCTCTTACTTTTATTTTACTTTTATTTGTTGCAACAGGCTTTTGAAGATCATGCTCAATGTTGGAGTAAAAAAAATAGGAGAGGGATTGAGCAATCGAAGGCTAGCGATGCTATCTTTTTCATCGATCGTCCAAACACATAAGAGTTTAAAATGAGTATAAAGTCGGTTTGCTTTTTACACTCAGAAATCTAACTATTCTTAAATTTCATGGTGTAGTTTTGTATTTACACCGCAAACAAATACAGCCTTATGTTTTAAACTTTTAATGAAAATTTGGGATTCTTTTGTTACCCCAAGAAATGCTCAAACATCAAAAAAATTGTATGATTTTACTTTTATAAAAACAAAACAGTATGCATTTTTCTGATAGGAGAGGGATTGAGCAATCGAAGGCTAGCGATGCTATCTTTTTCATCGATCATCCAAACACATAAGAGTGTAAAATGAGTATAAAGTCGGTTTGCTTTTTACACTCAGAAATCTAACCGTTGTTAAATTTCATGGTGTAGTTTTGTATTTACACCGCAAACAAACGCAGCCTTATGTTTTAAACTTTTAATGAAAATTTGAGATTCTTTTGTTGCCCCAAGAAATGCCCAAACATAAAAAAATTGTATGATTTTACTTTTATAAAAACAAAAACAGTATGCATTTTTCTGATGTGACAATTGTTTATATTTTGTAAAGCAAAAATCATAATATATTGGCAAAGTGCTCAAGTAGTAACACACCACTACGAATATCATGGAATTGAATCATATGCAAGTATGCAAGTGCATATACTGATTATTGCATCAACTACTGAGTGAGTGATGCATCCAATATCCAAAAGTATCTTTCAATTGGGTGCATCCTTTTCTTTTCTTTCTTTTGGAAATAATTTCTTTGCCCATTTTATTCCACCTTTCCCTAGGCCACTTGATCGAAAACAAAAGTGAAGGTTGACTTAATCTCCTTTATTGTGAATTAATAAATAGGTTCTTTCAAAAGCAAATTACATTTGCTTCTTGGTAAATTCCACCAGTATCCTTGGGGTTAATGAAAATTTATCATTGTTAATAAATTACTACTAGGGGTCATCATTAAATTGAAAGAATGGTAGGATCCATCTAGCAGATGCAAAAAAGGTTGCAGAATGGGTGGGCAAATTTCAAAAATTTTCCTATCTTCTTCCAACTGGGAATCATATTCCCTAAATTTAGAATACAATATTCAAGGATCCTACTTGAACCATAATCGAACCAGATCTGAGTCAAAAAGAAAAATGGAGGATTATACCTGATCCGGAGAAGCAGTATCTCCCAAAGTTGGTGTTCACGCCCAAAGAGGACACCAAGATCCGCTCCTACTGAAGATGGCACAGTTGTATGTGAAATAGAACCAGCAGAGTGTCCTACACACTGGATCCTTCGCAAGAATCATCTGGAAACTCTGAGCACCAGATCTTTTCAACCTTTTCTGCAAAGTTGAGGTCAAGAAACAATTTCTTGATTTCTTTCTTTTTCAAAGATCGAATCTTGTAAGAAATGATGGCGGCGGTTGGAGGAGAACTCCTAGGACGAAAATGGCTGAATAGCTTCTCTTCTCTCTGGAGTCTGTATGAAATCTGATCTCAATTCGTAGGAAGCTTTCTTACTTACTACCCCTGTTCGAAATCTGATGTTTTTCTCTTAGGGTTTCTCCTCTTTTCTTCTTGATTAAGAAACCTCCTAATTAGGAGTTATCCCAATCCAAATCAGTATTTGGATAAGGGATTATCTTAATCCTATCTACAGATTAAGTTAGCTTACTCCTGATCTTATCAGGAGGTTACCAGATTCAAATCTGATTTGAATTTGGTCTCCCAAAGTAGATAAGATTAAAGGCCCAACCCTTTTACTAACATTAATCTCAGATTCACCCCATAGATGGGTGATCATATCAGCCCAGCTCGAAATGGACTTTTGGCCCATTAAGTGTTTAGTGCTTGACTACTTTCCAATCTACTGCCTAGTTGGGCTTCTTTGTATGGCGTGGGACCCAAGCATTGATCTACACACCAACCACATGGGTTCGGCCCAGCCTTTATTACAAGGCCCAGCCGAATTCACTAAAAAAACCCAGTGAACCCCTGAGCCCATCATATGGACCCTATGGGCCCAACACTTACATTAAGTGGTCCCTGGGCCAAGCCATCTTATAAAAACCTAAGGATTGTGGGCAGGTGCAAGATTAGCCCATCATGTATTATCCTAAATGGTCTTACACTTAACCTCTCAGYCCTTAATGATCAAGCACTGCCCGACAAGAGATGACCTCTCCCTCGGCTGCAAGGAATAGTGCCGCAATCTCTACTCACATGGATCCCAGGAATTAAAACCATTTGCAAATACTTTGAAACCGTACATATATAAATTTTGCAAAACAAAATTCCAACGATTGAAATCAACTGCCGGCAATTTGGTTTCCATCAAAGAGAGTGCATTTCCGATCATTACCTTTGTTCGACAAAGGGGCTGATCTTGTCACTATGATCACCCACTCAGATGAATTCTCAGACTGTCCCAACATACCCAGGTTTTGATCCCCGCTAAGGATTTCATTGATTGGCATATCAAAGACAACCCGATCCGACACCTAGTGAAGTGTCATAATCGAGTCTAGGGGTCAGGTGTAACTTTCCAGTTTTGCCCATCTGTCTCCAAGGTCCAGGGCAATACTGGAAATCTGGTCAAATTCAAGGATTCAAGTAATCTCATACTACATGTGCCTTGGGTCTTACCCTGGTGGCCGAGACAGGCCATCCCAACACTTGGTGGCACACCAGTACCAGCCTTGGTAGGATAAATCTCCCCAGACTTATCCAATGRCTGTGAACATTTAAAACTAACACGAATCTCTATAAGTGTCCAGTTTTAGGGTCTTACACAGAGTTATACCAAACAACATGAATCAAACATGCACTTTATTTATTTACACTAAATATCAAACGTACATCAAACCGGATTGAAGCTAAGGGCATACAAAACTGTCTAACATAAATTATCATAGATGAAAAAATTATGATGCCAAAAGACATGATATAGGAAGGCCTTTGACTGATTATCGCTTTTATAGTGCTGGTTGATTGGTTATAAGTTCTTGCATGGGTTTTGGTATCATAGTCAAAGGCCAGAGGTTATTTAATGATTTTTTTGAAATTTCGATGTATTAACATCCTAAAATTTTTTAATTTTTCGGCATTCAATAGTAAAAGTATTGGTGCCAAATGAATTTGGATTGGCTCCTGACAGCACATTATAGCTGTGGATTGGGAACATCTTTCCATGAATGATAATATACAAATACGGGAGATGTTCCTAATATATAGCTGCAATGTCCCGTGGGGTTCGTGTGGAGAGTAGACCCAAAAGATAGGGAAAATGGTTATTCTCCCCTCTCTAGGCTTCATCTTCTATGGTGTCACAAGATAATAGTCAGTGGGAAATGAAACTAAAATTGCATTGAAAGGGCCTTGTCAAGTTGTCCATAAAAAAAGATTAGAGCAGTTGGGTTACCCCAAATCAAAGTCTTCTTCATGTTTCATCAATGCCCATGCACACAAGGAGATGCAAAATGGGTGTGGCCATATCAAACTAAATCACCCGTGGTGTGGCGTGCCCGAATCATTTTTTAGGTTGAAAGTAAAATCATTTATATGATATTTGTATGGAGTCATAACATCATATAGGAAAGTAAAATCAATGGGAAAAATGAAAAAGAAATTATATTTATTTTAATAATTGCTATATTATCATAATTAATAATTATTATAAGAAAAAACTATTATACAAAGGGTTCAATTTGGAAATCAATAGGGGGTAGAGCATTTAATCATTGAAGGGATTCCAAGGTGGCGGTGGGTTGACTAATAAAACCACGATGACACTATATCCTGCTATAAGAATGAAATTAAAAAAATTTAATTGGCTGACAAGAAATATGTTGGTTTATATACATTGGGTGGGGAGATTGGCAAATGTTTTGGCTGATGTATTGGCCAAGCAAGGGATAAATAGGGAAGAATTGTTTCGGACTCGACTGTAATTTATGTAATTTATTACTAGTTTACTTGTGAGCTGTTGGGACTTGGGAGAAGCGGCAGTTCACGCCTCTCCATGGGATGTTGTATGAAGCTAAAATTCTAAATCAAATTCTGAATTAATAAAATTTCTATTATTCATAATAAAATTATTACTGTCTGCGCGATTTGGTTGGCAAATTTGGGTTTTGACATCAGTTTGGGG